GGATACTTTTCACGCAGAAGTGGGAGAAAGCTCTGTCTCTTCAGCATCAGGTCATCTGTTGTTTCAAACATTGTTCAAACCGGCAGACCTTGATTTCTAAATGTGATCTTCCGAGAGAGATCAAACACTCTATTTCAGAATCGATATTGAGGAAATCTGATTTATCGGGGGGGGCATCTATTTTTCCATTTTCTAAAATAGTTCTGTCTTTGGTTTGTACACTCAGTATTATGCTCAAGATCACATTGCTTCACTGAATGTATGGAAACATGTAATGAGTTTGATTAGCTGCGTGATTATGGCTAAAAATGATCTTTTAATTGTACCGTTGTATATAAATTTTCTAAATTAATCCGTTTTAATTAATCTTTGCAGAAAAATAAACCTTTATTTACCTGGCCTAAATCTTTTAGAAAGAAAATTAAAAAAAAACCCATTTGACTCCATTCGTTGTACCTGCCTGTTGGAAGTAAATATAACTCACCAGCTGTGAGATCCCTCTCTATTTCCCCTGTTACATTTTGCATACAGTGCAGATTTTGCCACTTTAGAAAGATAATTGCTCGAGGGGATAACATATCTTTTGTGGAGTATGTTGACCATTTTCCTGACACCTTCGTTACTCACTGTGTTTATTGGTCTCATGTGTGGCCACATGGAATGTGATTGGTTGGTGTTTGTGAGGTGGATGGATATACTGATGTGCTGCACAGACTCACTTTCATGGATGTCTGAGTCTGCCTTGGTGCATTTATTACACTACAGTTTGTGATGTTTTTTAGGTGGTTTTATCAGTTAGTTGTGTTGCTTTGCAGGCACAGACACACAACTTTACAGCACTTTTTGTATATGGTTTGTTCTTTTATTAACATCACTTGCCCTAAATCCAAAGTTTTTCCAGAAGAATCCGCTTCGAGGGACAGGCTCTTAGTCTTGTGCTGTGCCAGGCATTTACATTTTGTTGTATCTCTGTCTTTTAATGTTTAATTTACTCGTCCAGACTAGTCCAGGATACTCCTGGCTGTGATGGGCACTGATGTTAGGAGTGCTTGATTTGCTTTTGGCTTTTTCTGCTGGTGGAGCAGAAACTCTCATGTTTGTTTAATTGTACCAAGCCAAAATCATGATCAAGATCAAGATTTGATTAGTTGTGCAGGGTGAAGTTTAATGTTTTTCCAACATTAACGCTACTTTATATCATTTTAATAGATTTTTGTCTTTATAGGGGTTTTTTTGTATTTCTCTATTTAGCCAATGTGTGGACATTCAATAAAATTGTGTGGTTGCATCTGTTCACTTATATACTTGTTGCTTGGACACATAGCTAGAATCGTGGGCTGTGTCTCTGTGTGTCTTCAGCACGCAGCTACAGTGTAGCCACACATCTATGAAATGAATACTAGCTATAACCAGCAGTTTGTGAAGAAGTACCCTGTGTCACAGAGACACATCAGAACTTGCTATGTGAAGTCTTCCTTGTTTTTTTTCTTGTTGAGGATAAGATTTGAAGAGAGCAGGGATGTCTGTTGTAGTTCATTTTAAGCATTTGCATTTGCAGTGTCCTCAGAAAAATACCAAAGTGTGTTAGGCCAACAAAGCTGTGGGTGAGTTAGCAATTCTTCTTTTATTGCTCAGTAAAGTTCATTGCAGTATCTTTATTGCCATCTAGAGAGCCATTTGTTTTGAGTGTAGCAGATTCAGTAGGGGTCACAAGTGAACTGAAAGGCCCATTATTAAGGAATACTGCAGTTCATTGACAGATTATTTTTACCATTATAGCCTTTTCTCTCTTACTTATCAAAATGACTTCCAAAGCTGAAAAAATATTCTGTAAAGCTCTGTCGAAGATTGAGCAAATAAGCAACGCAGCACTGATCCTACTAATCTTGGCTGGCAGAGTTGTTACACTTGTATATTTTCTAACTAGTTTTTATTTTTATTTCGTTTTGACCTTTTGTTTTGTTTTTTTAATACAGTTTAGTTTGAGTTAGTTCCCAGAGTGGATTTTCTTATTTAAATTGACTTTTTTATGATTTGGAAATGTTTAGTTTTAGTTTAGTTTTTATAAGTTTCACTGTTAGTTTTTGTCTTTTTATTTATTATTGTATGGAGGATGTGACAGAGGCAATAGTTACGAAAATTAGTGCATATTTCACAATAACAACACATAACTTTATGAAAGCAGTTGACCGATCCAGAGTGTCAATAAACATGTGTATCCATCATATAGTTTATTTAGTATATAGTAATAAATTTATTTAAGTTCTAAAACAACTAAACTAAAACAAAATAATTTACAAAGTTTTAATTTCTCGAATGCTTTCACATAATAACCTATGATAACCTTGACATGCAGGACTCAGTGTGCTAAGTTAATTCAACACACTATAAATTATTTAGGAACAACAGCATCACTTTTGGAAACTGGTTTCCCCAAATGTTTCATATAATTCTTTTTTTTTTACTTTGAAATGTTCTTTACCTGTATTAGGAAAAAAGTTAACATTAATTGTCTAACAAAAATATCCAAAGCAGGCATCAGGGATAACATCTTTAGATATTTCCTTATATATTACGACCTGGTCTTTGTCTTTTTATTGATCTGAAGAAAGAGGAGGCATAATCATGAGAATGATAAAGTGGTGTTTTCTCAGAGAGAACTTTTACTTTAATGACTCATGCAAACATTACACAGTTTACAAAAACTGTATGAAATAGATTCATAGTTCATTTACACACGTTGTCACTGCCTCAGACAAACTAAAATCTATAATCTTTTTAAAATGTTATGTATATAGCTGACATTCACTAGTACAGCCCTCAACACGGAACACAATTAGAAACATTTATTGATTATTGATAGAGTACAGTGGCTGTATGGTAAGCAATGATCGAAGCCTTAGACTAAGTTTTGTGGAAGGACTCAGTGAGGACTGCTGTTGGCTCCAGAGCTGGGCAGATCTGAGGGGGGACTGAGAAAGATGGAGGAAGAGTAGGGCACATAATCAAGTACAAACAGGCATGTACACAGGGCAATTACTGTATAGATGTACAGTCTGACGGGAGGTGTATGAAGTCCCTTTTAACCCGTTAACCTGGTAACTGCTTCTGAAGTTAAGATGAGTTATGTCCAACTGGTTAACCATACGTTATTATTCACACTTTAGCGCCATAACCTCTTTAAAAACTTTGTGACAAGTTGTATTGTTGGCTTAAGTAAGAGAGCGCTACATTAAATTTTGTTTTGCAACTTTTGTATAAAACAGTTTGTTTTGTTTTTTTAGTTACTGGGAACGTGGAAATCGTAAAGCATCGGAGAGTGCAGTACATTTTAAATTTAATTTGAAAACGTTGTTCAGGTTTGCGGTCAATGAGCTGTGGGAGAATGAATGTGGCAGCACAGAATTTTCATACACTGATGAAATGTTTTCTCTCCTTCTGGGGTTGCTGATTGTGTGTTCTCGAGTTAGAAACTACTATTGTTTCATTTCTTTTGAGGGTATTTCATTGTGTACACGCTTTTATTTGTCAGGTTTTGATTTACTATCTTTTGTTGTTATCTGCATGTCATTAGGAGCCTATGCACAGGGACTATGCATGAGAATGAGCTTTTAGCTATATTTGGTATAATGCATATATTCTGCATTTTCCCTGCTAAATAAATAAATAAAGCATTGCCTTTTTCTCAAAGACAATAGAGGATTTGGATAAGTTTTAGTAATCATTTCACAGTAGCAAACAAAAAGACTTCACAATCCGATGCAATAACCTGTCACCTGTCTACGGGACAATGGTGCAGATTTGAATGTGACGGTAATTTGGGGGCCATTTAATTAGATGTATTCATTCTGATCAGAGTGTATTATTATGAAAAGACTAAAATAAGACAAAGGATCAACATAACTGGGCAGAAAGAAACATTTTTTTTAGAAGGAGCTCAGAGAATAACAGCTGCTCTTTAGCTTAGAGATATAAACAGTATCATTTGGCTATCTGATCAAGATGCCACCTGTCTGCCTGTGGAGGCCCATCTCTGAGGAAACCTTTAGGCAGACTTAGTCGCTGCAGTATAAAATATCCCGTGGAGTGTGGGAATGCCTCGGGATACCCCAGGATTAGCTGTGGGGAAAACCGAAGATTAGAGCAATTCACATGTGAAATGTATTTCATACTTAATATTATGGTGATTGTGGAGACACATCTATAGCTCTGAAGTGTCCATATAAGTGCAATTCTACAGCACTTATTCCATCATTGTTAAATAACAAAGTTGTGTTATACACGCCACTCCCCTGCTTTTTAATTTTACTCCTTCTTTGACATTCCTCACTGGTGTTCTTTTGATATCAGTAATACGCTGATATCAAAAGAACAATTTAAAAATAAAAGTACTTTTACATTAAGGGCAGTTAATTCCAGTGGGAAAGAGAAACGCAAAGCATAAATAAATATGATAAATTACTTAGAAATCAAGTAAAGGTGAGGTGAGTTTTATTATTTTCACTCTGCATTTACAACAGCTTCAAACAGAAATTAAAATGGGAAAATATAAGAAAGAAAATGCTATTATAACAGAGAAAATTCAGAATAAACACTTTATATTCGTGTATTGATGGATGTCCGAAATGTACACCATCCAGTGTATGTACCACTGAACGTAAGTCTTTGGAGGCATTTTGAATTACATTTCAAGTCCCTTATGAGTAATGATTGATATTTCTACATGCCACTTTTTGCACAATACTTAAGATAATCATAAAGAACGATGGAAACAATCTCACAAGTCAGTTAAAGTTGACCTGCGGGAGGATGACAGCGTGCAAAAAGCAGTAGTTTTGGAGGCAGGTAGAGTGACGAGGGTTTATAAGTGCCAAAGCATTGTAATGGGGTGTTGCCATCTGAGACAGCACATGTGTCTCTCTGGTGTAAAGTATATTTCTGAGCCCTGTTGCTCATAATCATAATAATAACAGCGAATCATTTGCATTGTTTCTCTGCAGCTCTCACTGTCTCAGCTGGCAGCTACTTCACGCTACCCGACCATCAGCCACTCCAGCTCGGCGTTGCTGTGGCAACAGTCGTTTCCTTCTCTGCTCCATCCTTCCCCATTGGCATCGGCCCACCAGCTGTCACATGTCGTAAGATTTCCACCCCCGTTCGCTCACACGCGTACCCACAGAAACGCACACATCCTTCACACACACACACACGCGCGCTGCAGAAAATACACAAACACTAGGTGAAAGTAAGTCATAGATACATTTACGAGGTGTACATTCAATCATAGCGAAGACGCACAATGTCGTACATTGTCCGCTTCTTCACTGGAGTACAAAGCCACACTCACCTATACAGCACTCAGCTACCAGCTCATACCCATGTACCCATGGAGACACAAACACACACACATCCTCTAACCTGAACTCCAGCCCTGCACACTCTTTGTCTTTGGAGATGCTGGAGGTGCCGAAGCGGATTCTTTTCATCTTTAGAATCAAAAGAAACATTATTTTTTCACTTGGATTTTCAATTATTCTACAAAGACTGCTTTTTTTTAATAAGGTACTCACTGTTCTACGTCAAACTCATGTTTTGACTAATTAGGAAAAAATATGTTTAACCTACCCTGTCCAGTACTTCTTTTATTGGTGATTGGTAATTGGTAACAATTAGCTGTTTTCGTGTCTAAATCAACCCTCCATTTGAAATACAAATTCTGGCAATAAAAAGTTTTTTTTTTTTTTAATGAATGCCTTTTTATCAAACTCTCTTTGATTTAATCCCTATACTTTCCAGTGAACTAGCACAGAGATAATAATGAAAATTACATCAGAGAAAAAAACATATCCGACTGGCTCTAAATGCTAACAAGCTTTATGCATCTGAACGCAAGTCCTATCATTGCAGCCAGAGGATTCACTGCAGCGTAAATGAGGAAGCAAGCTATACTGTTCTGATTTGATTAACTTTGCTGAATAATTTCCTGAAATGATGCAGGGCTAACCTGTTCCCTGCAGTTGTAGGTGTTTGCTGCTGCGAATTGCCTGCCAGACTCATTTTGCCTTTGAAAGCTGCCTTGTCTTTGCTAAATTAGACTACGTTCACCCACAAATATGCATATATTTGGAAATATGCACATTAGAAGCATTGGAAGAATCTCATAGAATGGCGAGGAAATCATAATGCTGTAATCCTGGGATTAACCCTGAATCTTTTTCAGCTTATCGAAATCAGTTTTCACATCCTTATATATGCACATTGGCTCTTTGATGTAGAAAAAAAATCCACATAGCATATTGCCCTTGTTTGAGAAGTATAGGGATTTGTTTGGCTGCTTGTAAACAGTTTCAGTTTAGTCACATCCTGCAGCTGGGGATGGACCGTTTTCTCGAAATGCAGGAGGCACAGGGCATGTTTATTTCTACTTTTATGTTATTAGTGATAATCAACTTAAGCCTGTCACAAGTAGTCACAATATAAGCTTTGTTAATTGCAACTGGAGTGTTGTTGGTTATATCTGCTGTGAAGTTTCCAAAGTGCTCACTGTTAATACATCAAGTCTGCAATGCCACTGGGCTATAAGGGGACGAAATGCACACACTAATCGTTGCCATGGTTATAGCTCACACAGAGATCTTGACCCTGCCATCTTGATGACTCTGTTTTTTAAATCTTGTTTTGTTTTTCTTTCTAGAAAGGAATTCACATCGGCAATTATGGTGCCTAACTGCAAGGCCATTTGAATATCATTAGTTATGTAATATTTTGTATTCTTTTTAACTTAACCCCATGTCTCCTGTCTTTCATATGAGGACAGAACTGGTGGCTAATGTAGTATCTAGTCCTCTAATGTACAGGTGACAGTAAAGCACTGTGGAAACACCATTGCAGATTTGTTCAAATTTAAGCGTACACACCAGCAAATGTGTTTGCTTGCCTCCCCTTTATTATCACATTAGATTGTAGGGGCTCGTTCAGTGCTGCCCTGGACTGTATACCTGCTTTCAGGTATACCCCTTTCAGCATAGCTGAGAAGTCCTGCGATATTGTAACTAGTCAACTACAGCTTTAATGGATTTCCTTCATATTTCATGCTCAAAATCTATATATCTTAAACCATGAATCATTCTGCAGAAATAAGCCAGGAACTAGGAATCAGACTTACTGGAAGGATCAAATATAATAAGAAAGACAACATGGCAGAAGGACACAATACAATTTCATTTTGAAAGACAGACTAGGTCGTGTTGTGAAATTGTCAGAATAACTTTATCCACTTTTCTATCTATCTAAAAGTAGGAACATCTTGTACTTACTGGGCTAAATTCCAAGAAATAAGCTTCATTTATACCCATGTTCTCTCATTCACACAAGTTGTAATGGTTTTTATTTCTTTCCATATATATATATATCAAATCTAATGTCTGTTTCTGGCAACACAGCAGCATTTCCTTTTTTTAGTAATAGGTTAGCTTGGCACCTACAGTTGCACTGGTTGGCTTCCAACTGCATCACAGAATGTTTTACATTAAAGGAAAACTGAATGTTAAATTATTTCCGTTACTATGTGTGCATCAATCCCAAAACAATAGATGTAATAATTATTTATTATAATTATTGTTCTACAGTGTAGAAGAGTAGCACATACAGGGAGTGAGAAGCTTTATTACTATGAATTTTACTATGTTATGTTTTTACATAAGACATGCTGTATTATGTTCTTTCATAGTGTATATAACCTTTCTTTAAAGGTCACATTCTGATAGCAGTTTGAAAATATTACCTTAAATGCAGGCGACTTGTTTAAGTGCCTGACTTTGGTTGCTTGGTTTGTACTTTCTAAATGCCAATACTGTAGAATCCACTGCTGGATTTCATATAGGGCAGAAAACACTGTCAACATTACTGTGTACTGTGTATTTTCTTGGTCTCCGCGCTGGCATTTCATTCTGTTCTGATAAGCAAGTTTCTGACACTCCTTTTGCGTATGTTGAGTAATTAAACTAGATTGCAGCGTTTATTGTTTAAACCTCCATTTGTCCTTGTAACCTTACACCCTGAACTCACCAGCCTATAAAAAATGCTCGTATGTCATCACACTCCATAGGTTTTATGGTAGCAAGTTGAGATAAAGTATAACTCAATTACTCTGAGCCTTTTAAATGTGTTAAGACTTCTACATTATGCATTGAAATTCTCTTAGGTTATTATATTGCAGGTTGTTTGATCAGAGAATAACGGTGCATGTGTAGGGTATGTTGAATATAGGTATATATAGTAGCATGACTTTGGTCGAGGTTATTACCAGCACGTTTGACGGAAAGCCCAATAATGCTCAGCCTCGCATGGTGTGTAATAGGCCAACTGAACCATGCACATGTATCAAAGACCAGGGGAAAAAAACAACTGCAAAATGACACCATTAGCACTTCTTAGCTAATTATCTTCGCTAATACCCCTCCAGCTGTGTGCCTGTCAATGACAATGAAGTGGGGATTAATGTTTGCCACAAAAAATGTAGAAATGTTGAACTGATCCACAGGCAATTAACTGTGCTGTTTCTTTTCATAAGTATATTGTAAAGTCGAGTACTGTAAAGCAGCACAATGCAAACGTTGGTGATTAAAAATGCAAAATGCACTCTTAAAGCAAAATAATTTAACTTGTTATAGGCTGATTAAGTCATCTGTGCTTTTTCCTGAACTTACTGTCATTGGCCCTTCCAATGCTTCGGCAGCCTTAGCTTGACTATAACGCTGCCTATTGTGCATTAGCATTGACATATTTATCCTTTAAAACGCTTTTTATTTGCCCCATACTGTTTTCCTCTTGTATTCTTTATGGAAAAATGTAAATTTGGGTGCCATCTTGACAGATTTTTTTTTTCTTGAAAAACATCAAAAATCACAATGAATTGACCCTGACTGCATTGTGCACTTATCCAGATTTTAATTTATCGTATCCATCTGGACAATTAGCAGCCAGTGTCGTTCAGTGATGCCCCAAACTATGACAATCAATAATCTACTAAATTAAAATGATGTTTCTTTATTACGGTGACTGTGAGCATTTTGACTCAGGACCACATAACCTGTCCTGTTCTATTAGAGCAAAACATTTTTGAAAAGTTCCCCTGAGAAATGCACAATTTACTCCTGTTTAAATAGCATTTGCTAAAGCCCGCAGCGTCCAGCTGTCTTTGTTTCTGACACACTTTGAAAGAGTTGTGTGTCTGCGGTGTATATTGATGGACAAGGCTATTTATAGTCTTGTGACTCATAGATAAGCTTTGAGGATCAATGCAGACATCCAGTAAACCTAACCAGAGTAAGCTCTTTACGTCCTCCGTGACATATGGCTGCTGTTTTTTAAAGATATGCATTTCCACTGTAAGTGTGCGGTTGGAACTGCTTTTCAGAGTATTAGGCAATTTCCTGAATCAGTTTTAGCTAATCCACCACAAGCTTTCATCCTATTGCCTTGTAAATATAATCCAAGTCTCCATAATGCAGTATACATGCTTTCCATACATCAAGGTGACAATAATGTTTTGCAAAGCAAGTCCTCTTTTGATTCCTTTCTGTCCATAACCGTAATACAGTTCAGTCAATTCACGTTGCTGCACATGGCTTCACTGACACGTGTGTGTAATGTTGTTAAGGAACTGGCTGTGTGCCATTCTGAATAATACGTCTGAGTAAGTTATCGTGGTAAAAACAATAGCGTTGACGTAAAATCCTCATGTACTGCAGCCAGTGGTAATCTCATTTATTGGATTATGCATTAATCATTCCTTGCTTTGTTATTAATGATTTTTATTTCAGGCCTGCTCAGCTGTCAGCAACTTCGCCCACCTGGAGATGGACCTTCAGCAAAGAGGAGGTGATTCAGCTTCACTTCATGATGAGGGAGACCAACTTCAGGAGCTGCCCTTCACCCCTGTCCATGCCCCTGTCATTACTCTGGGGATGAATGTGCCCAGGTGAGCCCAGTCTGTTGTCTGCCTCAGACACGAGCAATGATGTGACCCAGAAAGAAAAGACTCTTTTTTTAAAAATAGTTATTGGACATCAACAATAACTTTTATAAAAGTTTGAAGATCCCAAATCTCTGCAATGTTCAGTTCAGTTTGCCCAAGGCCATTTTAAGGTAAAGATCTCATAATGTTATTGAGAGAAAACACAAGATTAATTCTCAAGAACTTAGCAACACTGAGGAGAAAAAAAACTCCTTTATTGGAGGAAACCTGTGAAACAAACCGCAATTGGAAAGGCAGCCATGTATCATGACCACTTAGGGGAGGGGGACAGTGGAGAGAGCAAGAGAACCCAGAGAAATAAGAAATACTGACATCAGATCAGTGTATGAACTTAGATCATGATACTGAAGGTTGAGAGAGAGAAATACCAATGTAGAGAGGGTTTCTACTGCTAGGATCCTAATTGCTGAGGGTTCTAGCTCCCATTTTACTTTTGACAACTTTAGAAAACACATGTAAGCTAGCACCCTAAGAGTTTCTCTATTTGGATAATCTACTACTGTACTGTGAGCTCTGTAAGACTTGTTCATTAAGAGCTTGTGTGTGAGGAGAAGGATTTGAATTTACACATCAAAACACACTTAAAACAAATGAAATGCCAAATGGCCATAAAATATTACCAGTGTCTTTTTGTGTGTGTGTGTTTTATCAGCTAATGTTTTATTTTACTCCAAGAGTATCCATCATGTTTTAGGATAGCCTTCCTAAAACATGATGGATATTCTCTTAAAAATGTAATATTGTGGCATATTTTTTCATGCTCTCTCCACTGTGCATCTGAATCATCATTACTCATGTTATTGTTAGTCATTTACACCGGTCTTTAATCCAGCATGTGGGACCACTCTGCAACCCAAAGCTATCTGTGATCCTCTGTAAGGAGGATATGGAGGCTTTGTTGTTGGCGTCAGCTGTGCACCACAAATTGCAATAAAGGCCAGTTTTTATTTGTAAAACATTAAACAATGATAGATGCCTTTGAACTGCAGCACTGAAAAATGCATTAGCTGAAAACTAACTGGAATCGGGTGGCCACGATTAGTGTGTAAAAAGATGTTTTTAGTGGATTCCTGATTTGTCAAACAACCGTGTTTTCAGCTAACTGAAAAACACAATTTTCTCCCTTTCTTCTAGTTGTACTTTCAGTGATTTCCACCTCGCTACAGCTTCTGATTTGGCTAACCTCTCCATGTCAGCATGGGAGGGTGACTCATGTTTGACAGGAAACATTACTAAAGAAAGGCACTTCAAATATCCTTTCAACATGCTACTGTTTTATGAAGCCTGGTATCCTGCGTGAACTCTAGTACGGTCCTTTATTACCACAAAAGTTTGCTATCTTGCTATCTACAGAGGGATATTGATTGGCTCACTAATTGGCAACATGCTTGCACTGGGTAGGATAACACTTCTGCCAGTAAGTAGGAGAATTCAGGTCAGAGCCAATTTAAAGAAAAATGTTTTGTCAGCTTTTACATCCCACTTTGGGTAATGGTTTCAGCACTGTTTGTTAGTGTGAAATTCATTATTAAATCCAGCTGTAAGGGAGAGGTTTTGACTTTGATTTAGTTGAGCAGAATGCAATGAACTCAGCAGGCAATTTACGATCATAATGTCAGTGGAAATATAGCCAGGTCTTAGACAGGAAACCGAATGAGAGAGTGCATTCTGCAAATAATGGGCACACTAACTCCGAAACAAGGCATTGTGCTAGTACAGAGAGTCAGTAAATAAGCAGCTGGCTCTGAAACTGTTTTCCGATCCCAGAGTTTGGATCCAGACACGATGCTGTTCAGTTCAGTGGGCTGAAACATCTCTGCCTTTTCACTCGGATCCAAAACATCTTTTTGACTGTTTTCAGTGTGGAATGACCCAGTTCTTTTGAGAAGAACAATGAAGTCTAAAGAAGTTTAATTGAAGTTGCCGTGCATATCTGATTGAGCCTCTTTTGAAATAAAAATGATGGCTTGAATATTAACTGGGGCTAAATTAAGATACAACTCTGAGCGATGGGGGAGAGAAGGAAAGCATGAAATTGACACAGCTGCAGAGGAAAAGCCCAGTCGACTGTCTTCTTCACTGATGTTACCTTAATTAGTTTGATCAGGGCTTCGTTCTTTCACAAATGTGACACTGTGGGCTCAACATGGACACAGGCAGCATTACTGTTATGAGAAGCCCAAACATTATTGTTCATTTTTCTATGCCGGCACTTTAGTCAGCCATCTGTGCACGGTGTTATCAGACTCAGAATGTTTGGTGTCAGCACTGAGAGTATAAGTTATAAATGTTACCGTAGTTGTGGGAAAACAGGTGGCCACTATGATTAGAGATAACTGCCAATTATGCAAGAAAATCCTTTGGGAGTGCTTTGGCACCCGTTCTCGCTCCCCTGTTAGTATTGTTGTGGTACCGCTGCTTGACAGATATTGCTGACATCCTTATGCTGCCTAATCATCATTTCCCCACATTTTTCTTAAGTCCAGCCGGATATTGAAATTCAGGTTCAGTTTAATTGGATGAAGTCACTAAATTGAAGTTATTGCCCAAAAGATAAACATCATGAGTCGAGATGGAACTGATCCAAGGCAAACAAAGCTAGGTCGAAAAATGATAAAAACAGCATTGTATTCCGCTCCACAGATCCAGACATTTTTTCCCCGCCTCATTTACAACCGCAAATCACCCAAGTGAAGCCAGTGCAGTGGGGACTAAACGCATTACCTCCTGCTGCTCGTAAAGCATCAAGAACGCATTCGCTGAAGTCTTTTCTGCTTGGCGAATGATTGATGTGTGCTGAATTTTTCCTCTAATTTAACTCTAGTTCCTGCTCAGTCAGCTCCAGAAGCTCATTGGCCCACCTCTTCTCGGCTGGTTTCCCTGACATCGTGGACTCTAGTGGACAGGTGGCTGATGTCCTGGATCCCACAGAACCCCTACCCTTTGATCCCAATCGAGAAGAGAATGACCTGCAGGGAAACTTGCTGGTGTTCCAGTTTCTGGCATTTACTAGGTGAGGCCTGCAGTACTGTGTCACATGTGGTTGAGGTGTTACTACTGTATAGCATAGCTTAATTGCTGTTGTCTTTGTTGCTGTTAAAGATTTGGCTTTAACACCATGACAGATTGCAAATTAATTACTTTTTTGCTTCCAGAAATGGCAGATTTGTTGTATTCTAAGTGAAACAGAGCAGCCATTGATTCGACAACCTTGCCAATATCTTTCTGTACACTGAGCCACTATCTGTGTAGAGATTTGGAGACTTTGATTGACAGCCAAGGGCGGCTCCTCCCCGCCTCAAGGGTTATCTATTTTTCAAGATTTCAATGCGTTTAAACCAGGCATAAGGTCCTGCCACCCTCTACGTACATGTCGAGCACATACCCCTACACAGTATGCACACATACACTCATGGTTGCAGAAAAGCACATTTCCTGTCAGCACAGGCTGAATTGTACCCCTGTCAGCGTCCCATCACGAAAACCCTGGAGCTGGCATCAACTCTGACAGGGGCTGACAGTGGAGCGGGGTTGGGAGGGGGGTGGGGAATGACGACTGCCGAACGATAGGTACAAAACACACCGATTTTTGTGTCTCTCTATCTTGTCATCAGCGCTGTTGGCATTGCTTACATTTGTCTTGTTCATCATGGACTCACCATCATGGTGCCATGACCACCCATGCATCAACCTTTACACTCTCTAACCTCTTGCTGTTTTGAGATGCATAATCAGTGCTTTGTGTGTGACTAGATTAAAAGACTCTGCTTTTGATTATAATTAATTACACTGTCTGAAAGTGCACCGTCTTTGCCTGTCACAGCTGCATGTCTGCTCAGTTTTAACAAATGATAGCAAAATCCTACCAATGGTACGACACTATATTTTACATTGTGCACGAATCAGTCGTGTAACATAGTCCCTAAAAACTCTCAACCATTTTTAAAAACATTAAGAAGGTTTTTATTTAAAATCTGGCACCTTTTGATCCTTTTTGGATCAATATTGGACAATCCGATGTGAAATCTGCCTGCGTGTGGGTCTAAAGTGTCCTTGATAAATCATTAAGTAACACGATTCTTTGTGATGGCAAAGAGGAGGAAAGAAGTGGCAGGAAAAAGGGGAAAGAGCGACAAGCACTTGAAATCTTGTTACCAAAGAGGTACTGAAAAATTTAATAGGGCTGCAATCTTCTACTTTTGGCCTCTTCTTCATTTCATTTTATCAGTAAGTTTATTAGTATTTAAAATTTCAGAAAAACATGTCTCTGAGGCGAAGTCTGCAGATTTTTTTAAGGTAATGACAGTGTGTGCTTTGTAAAAAATAAGTCTCTATAGAGTAACTTTTCTATGAAAATTGCTGCTACAGTAAAAATAAAGGGAAATATATTCCAGAGTAAATTAAGAAACGATGAAAAAAATATATACAAGTTTATTTAGAGGAAAAAAATTTGTTTAGGCAGGAGGTTAATACTTAAACCTTCATCACAGTACCTGATATACCTAAAACCATGACAGATGTCAATGTGAGTTTTTATCAAATAAATCAGGTGCTGATTTCCAGAGTTGAACTTGTATTTGGTAGCACTTTACTTTTCAAAGGTTCAAAGAGATACTGAAACAAGTCTAGGAGGCATCATTAGGCTGAAAAACCAAAAATGCATCAGAGAGACAGCAGTAATGTCAGGAGTGGCCAAATTAAAAGTCTGGTACATTTGTAAAGGGAGGAATGCATTGGCCAACTCAGCAACAGTGAAAAGACTAGAAGACCGTGGAAAATGGTCAAAGTGAAAGATGACAGAAGTTGTTATGAAAAACCTTTCACAATATCTACCCAAGCCAGCAACACTCTTGAGGAGGCAGGTGTATCACTGTCAAGCTCAAGAGACACCATCATGAATGGAGATACAGAGTGTTAACAACAACATGCAAACCACTGGTTACACACAAGACCAAGAAGGCCAAATTAGCTGTACCAGAATGATGGGAAGAGAAACGTATAGAGAAGGAAAGGAACAACTCATGATCTGAAGCCTACCTCATCATCTGTCAAACATGGTGGAGGCAATGTTCTGACAAGGCCATGTATTGCTGTCAGTGGAACTGGTTCACTAGTGTTTGACGATGTGAATGCTGATAGAAGTAGCAGATTGAATTGTGAAGTGTACAGGACTATACTCTCTGCTCACATTCTGTCAAACGGTGTAAAACTGATAGGGCAGCTCTACACACCGTGTACAGATAATGACCAAATCATACTGTAAAAGCAACTCAAGAGTTTCTGAAGGGACAAAAGTTGGACATTCTTCAGTGGCCAAGATAGTCACCTGGTCTCAACCCAACAGAGAATCCAAAAGAGACACAGAGACTGACAAACCAGTAGCAACTGAAGGTGACTGCAGTAAATGCATCACAGAGAATCTCAAAAGAGAAAACACGGCATCTGGTGATGTCCACGGGTTCTAGACATCAGAGAGTCATTGACTGCAAATTATTTTCATCAAAGTATTAAAATCAGTCCTTGCATTTAAAACGATTTTAGTTTATTCAGATACTTTTGAGCCTCTGAAAGTGGGAAGCTGTATAAAAATGAAGGTAATACAGCTGAAGCTCCGCACTTAAATCACGTCTTGATTGTTTTATCTAAAGTCCTCTGTGGTCATGTACAGAGACAAAACTACAAATACTCGTGGACCTAAATGTAAAAGCCGACAGATAAATCACTCTTTGTGGTAGCAATTGGGAAGGAAGGTTATAGTCAGCCCTTGTTTTATTGCAAATTATACACCATGGGTGCAAGCTGAAACACTATCACATTATCAGTTGGATAGTACAAGAAAACATATAAATGTCTGAGTGTATAAATTTACTTAAGTGTTTATGTTGTGATGCTATGAAAGCCTGTTCAGTCCCTCTGGATCTTTTTCATCACCATCTTAGGGCAGCCTGAAGTGGAAACTAAAGCCTCAAACTGGAACATAAATTTTGAATCTCTGTTGGTCGTTGTAGAGTGAGGTAAGGCTGAGTTACCTCAAAATTATGACAAACAGGTATGGCAGACTGGGCTTCCGCCAGCGGCAGCAGTACCATTTAGACAGGCAGGGAGCCTGTGAATAGGCAGTGTAATTTCCACCTCTCACCCGGGCGCCATAATTATCAATCTTGTCTGTTTACTGAATGAATATTAATGCTGGCTCCTCTTTGAAGATGGAGCATGGCATCGTCTTTAACAGTGGAACACCAGAGCTTGTGATTGACTGGGAGGTCATACGCCGCTCTTATTAGTTTCCACTTTGAAATCTACGGCTTCGGCAGTCTGTGGTCATGAGGGGGCCCTCACAGCACTCCCTGCTTGTTTTTAAAATGCTTTTTCTTTTTCCTCAATACTCATTGACTGGTTGATAATTTATTCATCATATGGAAGCAAGAAGCTCATCCTGAAACTTGCTCTGTTTTAAATGTGCTTGGCGCTGAAATCGGGTGCTTGCAGGCTCACAGGGACTTTATGTGGGCTAACTGCAGTTTCAAGTGTGGGATTAGAAATGCGTATGTGTGCATGAAATCACACTCAGAGGGTGGCGTTTGTGTGAAAAGCAGTACACAGCACACAAGGAGGAGGTTCTCATAGCCCCAAAGATTACTTTTTCTAAACAGGAGTCCCAGTAAACAAACACAAAAGAAGTATTCTATTTGTGGCAATAGATAACCTAGATATTTATATATATTTATACACTTTTCTCTCGTCCACAGATCTCATAACACGTTCTCTTGCTGCGTTTCATTTTTTAAAAATGAATTGTGAATTTGTACCCACTTAGTCAGCAGTCCAGTTTTCTTAGCAACTTTAAAGTTAAGCTCTTATCCTCTTTTTGGTTTTGAAGTTTTCACTTTTAAGCAGCTACAAAGTTAAACGACTCCTATAAGATGTGCAGAATATTCATTTTTTAAACATTTGAAAAGATTCTGGGGAAAAAATTTATTTTCTAAATATAACAGATTTCGATTTCTTTGTATGCTAATTTATTTACACTGTATTCTTATACGGTCGTTATCATTGTAATCATTATTTTTACATAATAACAATCATCTCCTGCTGTCTTTTCACAGAATAGCAGCACCGGGTGTTGGTCCCGATTGGCCTGAAAACATCTACTTCACCTTCCAGTTCTATCGCTTTCCACCAGTCACATCACAGCGGCTCAAGTTGCTGACTGGTGACAAGGTTCAGCACAAAGCTAGCAATCCATTTCCCTGTGTCCTCGCCTCCATTAACACAGATGGCACAGTTAACACTGGTAAGAATTCGCAGCTTAAAAAAAATATTGTTCATTCCATTTTTTTTTAAATATTATATAATGGTTATGTGTTGCCTTTGTGTCCCCTAAGCGATAGATTTATCAGAAGATAACTGCATATTGCATGCTTTAGAAAATCGCCACACTTGTGTGTGAGACTCTGCCGTTGATTATAAAAAGTGTACGAGGCGTATATCTGTTCCAGATTCAGAGTTTATGCCAGGCTGAGATTCATTGTACTGCTCTCCAGGTTAACATTGTACAATCACTTCCTACAAACTGCAAGCTCATTCCATGATGCTCCATGATGTTCTCTGATGCTGAGGCACTTCTCTTTCAATCAGCCAAGCGGGCGCTGATTGATGTCAGGTCTATTCATGTAGCAACTAATGAAATGGAAGAGATATTACAGCTTCTGACAGAGCGTGATATTGAGCGCACAAACAACACCCCCCCACCCCATTCCTACGCCCACCCGTATTCTCTATTCCCCAGACACACACTTCAGTCTAACTCTGTCAATATTTCTCCGACTGTCTCTGCATCTCTCTCAGCCTATAGCATCCGGAATGCACTTCCACAAAGCCGTGCTACATCAAGACAAATCCTTCCAGATATTGTATTGCTGGGAGCCTTTTCACCTATTTCCAGACAGCTGTTGAACTACTAAAGCTTTCCTTTCTTATTTGAAGAATAAAACGCTTAGCTTATCACCACCGGCGGTTAGTCCATTCACAGCTTGTTTCCACAAATGTCAAAATCTGCCTCATGTGCCTGCATGCTTTACTTGCAGAACCACAAAAACTGTTTATGTACAATTAAAAGTTTTCCCTTTCTGTGATGATGTAATTTCAGTTGGCTAGCTCAAATAGCAGATTATAACTTAGGGTAGCATTAGCTAAAAGACTAACGCAAGTTGAGCACACAATGACCCAAATGAACTGGATATTTTTAAATTGGTGATTCTGTTCAATATTAATGGAATTTTGAACATATTTAATGTCACTACAAGAGAATTTGTGTATCAAAAGTAATATAAGCTAAACAGAGAGTGCGAGGGAGGTGAATCTGAAAGGAAAACTTGATTTACTAAACCCTGGGGTTTTGTTTCTATAGCCTTACTTAGTCTGCTTTGTTACTGCTGCCATCAAGTGAACCTAACGAGAGGGTATTTTTCTTTCCTCTTTGTGGATTCATTATGATCCAACTGATTTAAAGCAATCTTTTTTTTTAAGAAACATTTGATATGCTGCTCATTTTACTGCCAAAGGATATAGTTAGTACTGTTTTATTCCTAAAAATGAATCTAATGACTACGGTGTAAGACATAGTTTTGACAGGAGCTTCACAGGATAGTTGGTGGTAAAGTTAAAATGAGAGTGGAATGTTGCTTTCTATCTGCTGGGAGACACAATCTCCATAAATTTGTTTTACTGTGTCAGTCTTATATTTCCGGCTTGTTTTGTACTGCCACAGTAATAATTCTGTAGTAATTTTCTCCAGTCTAGGTGATACTGTAACATTTAAAGCTTGAGCTTTTGTAAGGAATCTCAGTTTACTGCAGTAATGAATAGTTGCAGACCTTCAGCAGCATAACTACTCTTTCTCCTTCAAAAGCATTGATACAGTGGGTCAGTGACATCTTGTTGCATAAGATTGTTTCAACTTAATTCAGTGTATTTCAGTAGCTCTATTATTATTGAAACTCTTCTGTAAAGCATGATTGAGTCAATTGAAAAAAAGTTCCTATTTTATTCTCATTCTTTGAACCTTCATTTCCTGAGGAAATATCTATTTCTTGCTTCAGTCGTTCACTGCTTAGGTGGCTGTTCAGTGTGGCTGTGTCAAATATAAAATTCACGGTCATGTTTTGTTTGTTTGTTTTATGATGTCCTCTGCACTCTATTCAGCATGATTGCAAAGCGCTACAGTTCACACATTGTACTTTAACGCTCTCTGACACTTACTTTGAAAAGTTGATGGGTTTTTTGCCCTGCTGTCAAAATGTATCTCTTTAACGTGTCCATACCTGAATATCAACATGTTGGCAGGATTCGATTGTGATCAGAAAAAGTCATTGCATATATACAGACACACACAGAATGTTTTCTTGCTTTTATCCTGATAGCTAAATACACCTCTACTTGTGCTAGAACAGTCTCTCCTGGTATAATAAAAACATTTAGTGAGGAAGCAGCTACTGTATGAGGCACCACCTTCCCACCTTTTGGCCTTAATGTGTGTGATGGAAGGTCAGGGGATGGTGGAGACCGCCTGGCCACAGTTCAGTGTAGTACAACATAGATGAAAAGCTGGTTGTCAGTTTCTCTTTCACTATGGCAAAGAGAGAGCCTGGCAGAGAACGGATGGATAGTTTCTCTGGGGGAGTGTCTGCGTCATGTGTTTTATGGTATGGACTTTTCTTTGACCTGTTACAAGTTGTAAAACGTTATTATTTACATTTAAAGTTGCATTTGCTTAGTTTACTGCATTGCATCATTGGATAGAAATTACTATAGCTATTGCAGTTCAGTGACAGAGGGAGTGCTATATATATTTTACTACTACAGATTAAAGAAGACAGTTTAATCACTGTTTTTCAATAATGTTTTTAATTTCTAGCTATACTGCACAAATTAGTCCAAATGTAAAATCTTGAAAGCACTCTTTAAGTGATTTATAAAGATGTGAACGATCCAAGTATTGTACGAGATCAGTGATTTGGTATCTGCTCCCTGGTTTGAGCTTCCTATGTGCGTGTGTGTGTGCAAGAAACGGTAAGAGTCAGAGATGGGAGTTTTAGAGAGAATATGGAAACTGACTTTGAGCTTCAAAGCTGCTATGGTTATTCAGCTTTGTGATTCTGTGTCCTACTGGGTGGAAGTTTCCCAAGAGCCGAATGAATTCCTAAACCCTGCTTAAGCAGTCGCTTAATGAAATCATTAGGTCTCGCAAAGTTTCTTCCAATCCTGCTGTAAAATTAGCTTGAAGAGGACACCTGATCAGGTTGAGTGTAAATCTTCACATGCTGTAAACCAGCGGTCCCCAACCTTTTTTGCGCCACGGACCGGTTTATGCCCGACAATATTTTCACGGACCGGCCTTTAAGGTGTTGCGGATAAATACAACAAAATAAAACTAGTACCAGTACCGAAAAAAAGAAGATTTATTCATTCACACGTGAAAAGACCCAGGAAAACCGAGTTAAAGATAAAAACGATAACAAAATAATGCTGAAAACCACTAAAAACCCTGAAAACCATACATTTCACACCTGAGCCTCAACTCTCGCGGCCCGGTACCAAACGACTCACGGACCGGTACCAGTCCGAGGCCCGGGGGTTGGGGACTGCTGCTGTAAACCACTTAAACCAGTGTGGCTGTAACAATATGATACATACCTCATGTGATTGTGTTTTAGAATCCATTTTGGTATTGGGCTTATCTTTCTGCCATGTGATCAGCTTTCTACATGGGAAATGATGAATACGAAGCCTGGGAGCAAAATTCAAAACCACACACCCAGATTTCTTTGTGTAGAGAGTCAGTGCACAGAGAAATCTATGTGTCTTCCAGGCATTTTATGATATACAGACCAAGTGATTGTGGTGCAACTGAACACTCAAAGACTGAGAGGGAAATGAGGCACAGTTGGGTGTCTTGATGTTTACCTTATGGAAGATAACTGAAGCAGAAACTACAGTGTTCTGCCTCAACGGCTGATTTTTCTTATTTATTGTTTTTTTTTCCTTTTTTTTCAATTTGCAAGTAATTGAAATGGTTAACGTGTAGCTGTTACAAATTAAAGTACTGCCACAAAGAGCAAATGAAATTGCAATCATCTGTCTTTGTGTTAATTAGTAATTTGAGGCTTCAAAAAGAGACAATATTAAAGTCAGCAGTGGGACACAGCGGTGGAGAATCTGAACAGATAGTAGCAGCAACAAATCAATATGTGAAGTGTGTTATTTTTTATTTTTTTCTTAGCAAATATCTACCAGGGATAATCCCAGATCCCCACACAGCCAGAGTCCACCCACACTGCTGTTTTTATTTGCTTCCTGATTAGAACTCTTCTCGGGAGTGCGTTTGATTGACGTGTCTGAGGTTTTTTCTCCTTTTTTTCCTTCTCTTTTGCACATGTATTGCTCATTAAGATTAAACCAAAAAAAAAAAAAAAAAAACACCAACACAGCACCAATAGAATAAATACAATACATAAATACATGTTTATGTATTGTGTTTATGTGTTGAAGCCCTGCTAAACAACACATCGTTTTCTCATCAGATACAGCGTTACACGGTTTGAATGTGCATATCAAAAGTGATGGAGGGGTTTAGTTCGTTCTAGAGAGAAACCTTTAGAAAAGTCCATTATTCTGTTGCATGTTTCTGTTCTCTGCCGACTTGGGGCTGTGAAACATCATCACTTTACACCCACACTGACTCCCAACAGACAAGAGTCAGAGTTCCTTGTCCACTGTGTCACATTTGCATTAATATATAGTTAGACATTTGCTGAAAATGACTGTTATCTCAGCGTGTGGGCTGCTTTCCATACAAATGTATTGATCTAAAAATGGTGTGGATTATTAATCAAGTACATAATAATCCAGACATTGCAATAAGAAGCCGTTAGTGGCCGGTGTGATCTTTTCTTTCTTTCTTTCTTTCTTTCTTTCTTTCTTTCTTTCTTTCTTTCTTTCTTTCTTTCTTTCTTTCTTTCTTTCTTTCTTTCTTACAAAAAGGCAGACTTATTGGTAATTGTTGATCTACGGTTCTCATCAGTCCTTTCCACATCTATCAGTACACTCTGTGCTTTCTCTTTGTTTTCTTTGCCTGCAGCCCTCACAGTGTTTTTGTGAATTGTTGATCCCTCCCTGGGTGTTCAGGCTGCCCAGCCTGCTGTAAACATACCAAGTGCCCGCCCGTCCAGGTTAGGGGGAGGTATGTTGGGTGCTGCCCCTTGTCTGCAGGTCGAGCCGCACATACACGCGACC